TCACTATGCCATTGAGATTTATAAGTAGTAGATGATATAAATACATACATTACTTAAACTTTTGCGTTTGGTATAGATTATTAATATAGTTAAACGAGTTTTAAGTCGGTTCATGACCACGGCTACTCAACCTAGTGGAAACATCGAGAGAGGTTTATTTACCCTTATGTAAATAAGGGTAAATAAATCTCTCTCTCTCTCTCATAAATTTATTCATGTTAAATACATACAGAATACACATAGACAACACTCAGACTGATAAAAACAATCATACTCCTGAATACAATATTTAAAAATAGAGTTGTTTAATAATATAATCGGACCTTACATTAAAAAAAACAACAGTTCTCAATTAACGTAGCAGAGAGAACACAAGTGTCATTAAGGTGTAATAATCGAGTGATCGTTGCATAATCGATTTAGGAAATCGACAATCTTAGTTCGATTACAAAATGATACAAACTTGTAGACAACAATTTTGATCGGTGATTTGTACTTTCTAAATAAAATTAAATCACGAGGCACATTGCACACCTGCAACTTACAATGAAAATAATCGATGCTTTGCGTCCACTTTCACTGATTATCGATAAAACAATGCTATGGTAACGAAATGTTTTGTGTTTTATTTTTTCTTATGGATGATAATGGAATGGTGCAACCGCCTGCGTTAACGGTTTATGCTGGCACCAGTGGAGGATGATGAGATGAGCATGATGGTCAGGTCAGTTAGTCCATTGTGGTAAATTCACCATTAATTTATCACGACGGTTTTCAAGGGAACCACTTGGAGGTCAACCTGATATGGTAAATTGCTAGCAATAGGGTTATTAGTCCACATTACTAACAATTCCCTTCCACCTAATTAGTCTATTAATCAACTTCAGTTTTGATGCATGTGTTAAGGAAACGAGTATTGTATCACATACATCGAATTTGCAATATATTAAACAAACAAAAAAAAATGTAGGTAACAATCTTAACTACCAAATATTCTTTAGGTAGTATAAAAGAAAGTCGCCAACGCTGTGTGTTCGCTCGCGTACATCTTTTAAATTACGTAACGGATTTTAATGCAATTTTCAGCAATATATAGAGTAATTCAAGAGGAAGGTTTATATGCATGTTATAGTATAGAACAAGTTGAGAAATTAAAGGATTTGTAATATCCATGCAAAGCCGGGACGGGTCGCTAGTAGTAGGTATAGTAAAAACAAAACTTAAGAATAAGACAGGACAGAACTAGGTACATAAACTGCGGTTTTCCTTACATTAAGAGCTATGAAAACAAGGAAACAATTTTATAAAACGGTTATTTTACAAATTACTTAATAGGAGGAAAATAATATTTTTACGAGTTTTTGTTGGATGATAACAGTATGCGTTGGCGGCGCGCTATACGAATTTTTATAAATATTATTTTATTAATGGATTAAAAGTCTGTTGTAGCCACACTCGTAAGAAGGTTGATTGGGTTGACTGTCGCCGCTGTATTATGCTCGAGAATTAGCCGCGCCATCTTTCCCACGCTACCTTTTCGAGGATCCATTCTGCGCGAAACGCTTGTCAATAAACAATAAATAAAAACAAAATCATTAAGAAATGAGTCCCTTGCTTATATAATTATAGTATACATCTTAAATTAGATTAAGCTTACTTTAATTGTATTCTGTTAATTTTTAAGTAACCCGCCCGATGAATCTGAATTTCAGTTACCCGGGGGTTGTTGCCCCCGGAGTTGATGCCAGGGCAAAGAGGTTCACCCCGAAGACCCAACCTTCAGCCTCCTAAGATGGTGCGGATGACCAGTAAGGTGAACAGAAAACCGTCATCTAGAAACAACTATTGACTAAACGTAATACGATAATGAGTGAGGATGAAGTTAGATCAGTCTACCCATCATAGGATTCATCCAATTCATCAGCATTTTTAGCAATTGGACCACTGACCCAATTAACAACAATCCTTATTTTTAATGAACATAATACATGAGTTAGATGTTAAAAGAGATTAAATTACTACGAGAACTTACGTTACGAAATAAGCGATAACTAGGATAGATAACATTCATAATGAACCGTTTAAAATTTCTGGTGATTTCGTCATTATTCAAGGTACATGTATGAAGCGATTTAAAAAATTTGTAGGTTATCAAATCGACTGCATATATTATATATTATACAGTTTTTTTAAGCGACAACTTTATTTATTCTAAATAGATTTATATATATATTTTTTTAATTGAAAGAATTAGATTTTCAACACGAGTATGAATTGTTCTGATTAATATTACATGTACATATAGGTATAACAAATGTAATTACACACTTTGTGTAAACTTTGTAGTATACTGCCAGTTACATACCAATCACAATATTACGTGATTTTATTTTATTTTGAATGGCTGAACTTAATCGTTCTTAACCTAAAATATACAGAAAACATCTATTAGAAATCTACATTATGGCTGTATTCTAATAAAAGTAAAAAATAATGTTTCCCATATACGTATTTATTGTACCCGTGCGACGCCAGGGCGGGTAGCTAGTCGTCTAATAAGAGTAAAGGACAATATATTGGGCTAGTGTTGGGGTCGGCGGACATCCGCATTTCCGTTGACTGCTAGCCCGTGACACCTTCCGTTCTGGGGTGCTGACACGACCGTGACGATTTGGCGTGACATGACGTCATAGCAGCAATGAGGCAGTTTTATACATTTATATTCTGGTGACCCATTATTATTATACATAAACGGACTATCTATTCATCTTTCGATTATAATGTGTGACTAATTAGATTAATGTTCATTACAAGTTGTTGATGTGTAATATCAGGTTTAAATAATATCAGTTCCTAACTCACGCAAGTGAGTTTGTTTAATACGCTTTCTTGCCTTTATCAATCATCATACAATTTAGCATATACGTAGTATATTAGATGAAGAACATGCACTATTTTTACGCTGGTTATAAATGATCACTTACAATAAGATGCTAGATTACAAATATTTATGTAAATTACTTCAATTTATAGTTCCAATTGGCAAATATCGTGAGTTTGAATTTGGGTGTACACACACAAAATATCAATTTATACTTCTGTTTGATTTGCCAGGGATGGAAACATTAAATAAATCAAAAAGACAAGAGTTTGGTTATCGTGTTGTTTTCAAACATATTGGTCATGTAAACTTTTAGTTGACCATGACGTAGTTTATGAAACTACGTCATGGTCAACTAAAAGTTACATACCCGTTCTTGTCAAGTGAATTAAGAAACAGGAACGTACAGTATGAATTTACAAGAAACAGGAAATTAAAATGACAATTCACTTGTGACATAATGACATCAATGTAAAACGAAAAAGGAAGAGGTAAAATCTACTTAATTACGCAACTGTAGAATTATAAAAAAGTGCTTAAGAGTAAAATGAAAACGAAAAAATTGAGAGTGCCTACCATTGTAGGCACTCTCATTTTTTTAGCATTAACTTAAGCATTTATATGCATATTGTACTCGCATAACTGAAGTACCAACAGATACGAATACATAACTAGAACAAAGACATAATTTCGATTTACTAACCAAGCCGAGTCTGTTAGATCAATACTTATGCGGTGATGACGTACAAAACTACAAAAGTGCTGGAGGGGCCGCATGATGTTATCGGTCCCCTCGACATTTTGTATAAAGGTAACTGTCACGGTGAATTGCTCATTCAGTTGGAGGGAAAAATGGTGGAAGTAAGGTATAAACAAATTCCAATCAGAAAGGTGTTAAATGCGCAATTAAAAAAAATTGTATTCGTCAGGTAGTATTTGACTCTCCATAAGTCCTCCGGGTTTTAAGTGTCATCAGTACTCGCCCCATTTTCGTAAAGGCTAGTGACAGTCAACAGTAGTAATAGTTAGTAATTTTTTTTAAACGCATTATTAACAGGAAGTTTTTAATATGACTAATTTTTGCGCACATTTACGCAATATCTCCCAGTTACTCAGTTAATGAATGAGAGAATGCCTTTGCATTCGCGTATATCTCATTTATTAAATATCTATTAGGGAAAACTTTTGTATGTAATTGGAATGGCAAACACACACACGTTATCCTGTAACGCCTGTGGGGCCACTCATGCGTAGCTATTCTACCTTCGTACCCAGTAATTTTACTACCTTATCTGACCTTTGATGCGAAACGAATCTGAAATGTAAGCTACTTGGTAATTATAATAGGTGAAACAGAGGTACCCATGTAGACTAAGTGTACCTTGTCAAAAATTCGGTAATCTCGTAACTTTTCTGTTACTTTAATTCTAAAGCTGTATGTTTTCATTGAACAATAAATACTTAAATAATTCGGTAATACAGTGTACGGATGACATCGAATCTAGATCAAACTGAAATCGCTTAAAACTGATGAAGTATTCAATAATATTTTTTTCATATGGCATTATATTAAATGTTAATTTCATAGATTTCCTGTCACGGAGCAAAAATAGTCCTTACTAATATTATAAATGTGAATGTGATTGTGTGTGTTTTTTTATATATTTGTTATCTCTAGGCGTCTGAACAACTACACCAAACACACGAAGTCCGGCGTTTTTTAACAATAATACTTTTTTTTAAAGTGCCATTCAAGGACATATACTACGTCTTATAAAGTTGACATAGTCATCGGTTAAAAGGAGGATTATGTGAAGGTGAATTAAATGAAAGGTCATGTAATTTGGCATACGTACAGTATTTGGGATGCCAAAGTTTAAGGCACAAAAATTTCTTGTTCATATCGCAAAGGACTTGATGTGTAACAGTACGGTGATACTTAAAATGCAATATAAAATGTTCAATTACAAAAGTAAATAAAAAAAACTGCAGTAAATGGTAACGTTCATGACGTTATCTAATCGAAATAATCGAATATCTGACTCAAAGCCCTATCTACATACCTAAATATTGGATTGATCACGCCTTAACTCAGTGTTAATAGGAAAAAAAAGATATATTAAAATGTAAACATTTATTAATTAAGTTACAACAAATAATACTATTACATATGGCGAGTGTTACCGAAAGAGATGCCGCTCTGCTGTCCTTTATTCGTTCCGTATTGGAGAGAGATGACGTTTTGTCCTGCTCTTAGCTGTTCCTCGGTGAACTCTCGCACGTTCTTGTTGGCTTCCTTCGGTCCGATCGACGGCTTGCCGTAGTTACCAGCTTTCCTGCCTAGCGATTGCAAGCATGTAACAACAGAATACAGATTTTGTTTCTCCCATAGATCGATCGTTTGGAAGGTCTCCTGCGGGGGCACGCCCAACTTCTTAGCCGCTTCTAGGAAAGCGTTTATGTTCTCCATACACTTGAAAGCCATGGTGGACTGGTTGATCTTCTTCACTGAACCTTCTTGTATAGCATTCACTAGTTGGCAGAGTAGGGTGCCATCTTTTAGTACCTCGTATAAGTTGTTTGGATCGCCCGCTGTATTGGCAGGGGAACCGGTCAATAGCTTTATCCATTCGAGGGTCTCGTTGGCTATAGCGTCGTCATATTTGCTGTCGATTCTGGCCTGAGCCTCGGCGTTGATTCCTGCTTTGCCCGCGCGGTATTCACCCATTTTGATGTATTGTTAGGTGTGTAGACACGTATCGACTGAACTCCTTACGATAAACCGATACCAGATATCCGTTTTATTGTGCATGATAGTGACATCATGCGCTCCATGAATATGTATACAGTAATTTGCTTTTATCAATTGATATAATTAGTTAAAAAATAATGGAATTATTTCGATATTACACTCATTTAAAAATGCAATTATAACTTTCATATCTATATTAAGATTTATTTTATTTAAAAAAAAAGTGTTTTAGTAATAATTGCATATAAAAAGTTAGAAATATAAAAAAACCCACTTTAAGCGAATTCACTAAAAAGCAACTTTATGGTAAAAATAAAATCGATAAAACAAAATATAAAAATAAATCATTTCCATGAAAAGTGTTTAATTATTTATCTATTCCGAATTTCTTACTTGAGTTACATACACTTCATACACAACCTCCTATTTCCCGATGGGATAGTAAGAAACGTTGTCAAAAGTCGTCGTAGTGAATGCAACTTGTATTCTTACATTTCGCTGAAAACATTGTCAGTAGTACAAAATATTTCAACGTAGGAAGGAATAAATATAGGCCAGAAAGTCAGATTCAATCCTATACATTTTGAACTCTATATAAGTCAAGGCAGTAAACCTACCTACGATGTATTCTTACATTTCGCTGAAAACATTGTCAGTAGTACAAAATATTTCAACGTAGGAAGGAATAAATATATTCAAATTCAAATTCAAATTCAAAAATCATTTATTCATGTAGGACATTTTAGTCGCTTATGAACGTCAAGTTTTTACATTATAATTTTTTTTCCCTGCCGTCCAGTTCGGTATATAGATCCAATTGAGAAGAACTGAACTCAATTAAGTTACTTTTTTTTTAAAAGCCAGTTTATTTACAATGCATATAGGTATAGGCCAGAAAGTCAGATTCAATCCTATACATTTTGAACTCTATATAAGTCAAGGCAGTAAACCTACCTACGATGTTCTCTGAGTAACGACTTATCTATTAAATTAAAGCGTTTAATTAAATATAAAATGTGTAAATTATAATTTCTAGAAACTGAATAATACGTGAATATATGGTCATGTTATCTTATCGACTTATAGATATATGTTATCATTGCCGATAGTGCCCTAAATATGAGTAACTGTATATGAAAACAATTTGTTTCTACGCTAAGATATTATTAAGGCTAGTGACTGTATCATTGCTCGCGTATTCAATCATGATAACCCATTATCGTCCTACTGCTGGGTATCTCTTCTTAAGAGAAAGACTTAGCCCACTAGCATTCAGACAAGGTTAAAAGGTACAGTACAAAAGTAAAGGTACGGTGGTGTACAGGGTTAGAGAGGGTTAATTGTGATCCCGTTAAAATCGGTCCAGCCATTTCAGAGATTAGCCGGAACAAACAGACCAAGAGACAGACACACAAAAATTTTAAAAAGTGGTTTTGGAGTATTTACCGTATTCATATTCATTGCATGTAGTAAAAAACTGTTATTTCTATATTACAAACAGACACTCCAATTTTATTTATATGTATAGATTTATTCCTCTAGTCGTATCTTGAGGCTTCTAGGGGCGAAAAGCAGTGACTTCACATTATATTCTTACTAAGTCACCACACGTTTCATATATTGAATAATTCAATCTCGGTAATGTAATGCTTTTGGCTTTTACCTGGTATATTCTGAATGATAACGAGAATAACGAATTAGAGAGAATTTACGATTTCAATAGAAAGACGAAACGCTTTTTAGAAAGCAGTAAGTACTACTGTTATAAATATAATACGCCGACCAAAATGAATGTGATAAGGAAGAAGATGAAGGTAATTAGGTACTACAACTTCAATTTATTTACCAAATGGTATCTACTGAGGATTTTCAAGATCGCTGACATCTTTGTCTATAGTTGTTTTTCTTCTCTATACTTTCATGTCTAAGTATTATCGTTATCTGTCTGATGGATGTTAATTAGTTTAATCCATTACTGATATAGTTTCTACTACTTACAGATATGTTTGATATCGAATTTAAGACTCACTCTATTTGAATTTAAACAAAATCTGTATAGTAATCAAGAAGCTCGTTTGAAAAGAATAACAGTTGAGGTTCTTGCCTGATATATGGTGCTGATATTTTTTTCGTTACGTTCATAACCTTATAAACAAATTAAAATTAATAATTCATCTGGATTACTGTCACAGATAACTACTATATATATCAGTAATCCATTACAGTGTGTTCCTCAAAGTTTCTACAGTGTTAAAACATTAAATACTAGCTGTGCCCGCGGCTTCGTTCGCGCAGCGCACGCAACGGAAGCCCTCAATAAATTTCCCCATTTTTACAACATTTTTCAATGATGCTTCGCTTCTATTGGCCGTAGCGTAATGTTATATAGCTTAAAGCAATGCTTGACAAATGGACTATCTAACGTAAAAATAATTTTGAATTTAAATTTGAATATTTCAATTCGAACCAGTAGTTCCTGTCATTACCGCGTTCATACAAACAAACAAACTCTTCAGCTTTATAATATTAGTATGGATACATGCAAATCTACCTAAATATTGCTATGCTAATGAAACTATTTTTCAACCGCAATTTGCAGAATTGCGAATTAAGTACACATCCCATTGACCACCGACACGATTATATAAAAAAAAAGGAAAAACAAGTACATTAGGCAGTGATAAAGGCTGTATTGCAACAGTATTTCACGGCGCAACCATGCAATTTTTATTGTACACCATTGCGGCACGAACACAATGAAGAATGGCGGATTTCAAACAAAGGCCCACCTATCATAATGACTGCTCGATAATATCGCGATACCATCATACTAATATCACTTCAAATTTTATTTATACGACTTGGTGTCGGTGGTCTAGCGGTTTAACACACCGCCTACGATGGTTGGGGGTACGACACCTCGCACGGTACAAACATTTGTATTCATGATTGTTTGTATCGGTTTGGGTGTTTTCTATGTATAATGTGTATGTATTTACGAAACAAATGTATGTATTTGTAATAATTATCTTGTACCCATAACACAAGCTTAGCTAGCTTAACTTGGGTCTAGATAGCACTGTATGAATTGTTCTAATTTTGCGATATCTACGCGTATACAAATAAACAAAATTGAAGTGTCTATAATATCAAATGAACAGGTTTTTACTACATATGAAAGTGTATGATGCACCAAAAACTAATTTTATAAATATTTAAGTATTTGTATGTTTTTTCTCTAAAATTGCTGGTCCGAATTTAAGAGATCCCTAAGAATGTAATGTAATGAATGACAAACAGATAGAACAAACACACTTTTGCATTTATATTATTAGTATTAACTTTGTGACCAATAAAGTTGTCAAATAATTGTGAGACCTTATTTTATAAAAAACTAAAACATATACACCTTACTTCATTAGACATTACAGGATTTTGTCATTAAAGCCATGATAGTAACTGTAAAAAGATGAAAGTAACCATTACTTTCAATTTTTTTAAATCTTACTGTCAAATACATTAAATTACTGTAAAAATATGAAAGTGAAGGTAAATAAGTTTTACACAAAATTTATTTATTAAATTTATACTCTGCCACTAGAGCACATTTTCTATTAAACTAGCTGTGTCCATTACTATTCCCATGTAATTTAGTCTGTGTGTTATTTTAATGTATAAGCTATTATTGTAAAGTTTCATTAAAATCCAATTAGTAGTTTTAGTGTGAAAGACTCACATTGTTTTATAGATCCATACAAGTTTACAAACATCCCTATTTTGTAATATTAGTAAGATGTAAAGCTATAAAATATAAATATTAATCTCCAAGTAACAGACGTAGAAATGTATACTACTTAACATTAAAAAGATAACAACAAATATTCACATTTTTATGGCTAAATGACTGAAACAATTTCATTTATAATTGACATAGACATAAAAATGTATTCTCATACAACAATTAAAACAAAAATAAGAAGAGAAAAGAAGTGTCCACAACAACAACTGTAACAACTAAAGTCAATATAATATTAGAACCTATAAACAGTCACAATAATTAAGAAAAAAAAGGAAGTGGCCAGTACCAACTACACTATAATATTGGAATCTATAAACAGTGTGTTTTATGTGGCAGCGACAGAAGCAGCAGTACCCAGGACTTGAAACCAGGTTGTAGGTTTAAAAGCCCCTTGTCAACACGGATTAGATGGATAATCCAAAGCCATAGTTACTTAAGAATAAAAAAAATTGCAATGTCCTTGGGGACAATTCATAATTTTCAAAGATGTCTCTTCGTAAAAAGTTTTTATGATGGAATTTAACACACAATATATTCTTTCTCCATACATCATTTATATAGATATTAGCTCTGATATGATTAGATTAATTACCTCAACATTTTTTCATTAACCATATTTCCTATATTTTATAGGTTCAACTGATATTCTTGGTTTTAATTAAAAAATTATCAACAATACCATCTAGCCATTAAGATTGATTTGATAAAAGTATGACCTAATTAATCAAATCAAAATATCTTTATTCATGTTGATCTATTGTAGACTCTTATATCCTGCAATTCTGCAGAATGGTCAAACTTGGAATACCTGAGGATAACAAGGCTATAAGAATACTGTACTGAAGAGTAATCTAAGGAGATCTATGACCATTACATTTTAAAATGGTAGGTTAAACTATTAATTTAGCAGACCGTTCCAACTTCACCTTGGATTAATAATATACATAACAAATACAACTTTCATGAAACAAGTATACACATGTATTTATTGTTAAGATTAAAGCAAGAAGCTGACAGATGTAGTTGTTCTGTAAATTACTTAGATAGTAATATCCTAAACCTTGCTTATTCTATAATGTGAGGGTGACAGGTAATATTCTAGTACTTTCTATTGAAACAACTAAAAAATGTATTAAATTTGATTTTTTAAGTTGAAGCTATTCAAATAATAATCATGGACATTTTTCGTTTTTATCAATTCTGAACATGACATGCTAAGTAACGACTAAGTTACAACGATATCAACATAATTCACGATTTAAAAAACTATATTTAGAAGTAAGACGCATAAACTTGAAATTAATTAAGTTGGTATATTTACGTAAGTAAAATGGCAGGTATCTAAAGTATTTGATAGTAAATTCTAATATTGTAATTAATTGAAAGGGAAATATGAACATGTATACATAATAAACATCTTTAAGAAATCTAACAAGAATCTACTAGGTTTCGTAACTGAAACGCGCTGAAATGACGAGGCAATACGACTGATAACATCATAAGCAAATCAAACAAAAGGTACAAAACCCAGGTGAACATCGTAAATAGTTGCGAACTTACCGGAATGTAATATGCTGGTAAAATATATTAATTTCACTACAATTATGAACTTCAGATGACTACAGGGCAATATCCATTGTATATCACGATACACTTCACATACACGAAAGAGTTTTATTTATTTATTTTACCGAACGCACTCAAAATAATTGACAGCAACAATAAAAGTTACCGTCAACGAGCGACACGTTGGAAAATTGTTTCGGTTGTGGAATTGTGATTTGTTGGTTGTTTGGTGCGCTCCCCACCACGTGACACTAGTGTGACGTTTGTGCTAATTTCTGATTGGCTGAATACTGAGAAAAAAAGTAACATTTAGCGTCCAAGTATCGATACTGCAATGTCGATATTAAATGTTTTTTCTTTAATAATATTATTAAAAACCGCTTAACTGCATTTTATAAATCGCAATTGACATTTGGATCTTAATTTATTTATTTATATCGCTAACATTTATAGAATTTGACCAAAGTTGAACATTGAATGATAAAACTAAGTACAAAAGCTTCATTACATTCAGCATTATTTTGTCATTTAATTGGTAATGTTAATATGTTTGGATATGGTTATTTCACAAGTCTCGAAGATTTATTGTGATTGGATTGTTATTCCATAAATATATAATTATTTGATTTTATTTTGAAATTTTACCTGTTTGAAACGGAGTACTTATTTGTGAATTAACAATACACTATAAATGGTTAATAGCTGTCTTAATTAATAATAAATAAATAAATTATCGTTTTGAATTATCACAACAAACTCGATCAATACAATTCACATGCGACATACTTTGCACATGGTCCTTTCGTTGCTTCTGTAACAGCGGCTTATTGATTACTTACATTTTTCGAAATCTTAAAATTAGTTTAAAGAATGTTTTAACTATATGAAACATTGGAATTATTTAAATGGTCCCCAAACTAAAAGAGTTAATAAAATCGTCTAGTATAGTTATAGAGATATAGATAGAAATTGCTTTTATGTACAATAAAACGAGTACATTTAAATACTAAATCTATACATATCTATTATGCAACCAGGACTTAATAATAATTATCTCCGGACAATTCACAAAGCGCCATCTAGACCCAAGTTAAGCTAGCTAAAGCTTGTGTTATGGATACTAGATAACGGATACGAATAAACAGATTTTTTTTAAATAAGTTCATATTATACTTAAAAAACACCCAGATCGATAAAAACAACCTGTGATCATCGGAAGTAAGGTGGTATTCTAAACCGCCAGACCATCGAGGCCGTTAATAATGACTCACTATTCTTTTATAAACATATAAAATAATTTTATATATTACTGCTTTTTATTAATGACAATATCGATAAAATTACAATATGCAACGGACATCCCTATGACCAGCGCTTGTTTGACAGATATGTGACAATGTCATGATTTTGACAACTTACTATTTGATAAAATAATATATTCTCTTTTCATCACCTATATAGTTTATTTGTGTAAATTATAATCATATATTCCTGCTAATAGTCTGAAAATTTTGTAATAGGAATATTACATCGTTAATCTCACTCATATGACACTACATACTTACTCTATGTAATGTGACTATTCCAGCCATGGCTGTAAGATGTTATTACTACTTAAACTTTTAGTATCATTAGAAAGTATTAAAATATTTTGTATATAATTCTAACTAGGTTGTAATTAGAGATTTTAAACCATAATTCTACAATAATAATAAACTCTTCTATTATTTAAGAGATTATTGGACACATACAGAATGGTGCAACGATTTTTGTAGGTATGATAGTGTAATAGTGCACTCACCTACGGCAATAATATGTTTTTTTTTAATAGATGATAATGATATGGTTCAACCGCCTACGCTAACGGCGTTACACCAGTAGAGGATGGTAGAATGAGTATGAGGTTAGCTCATTGTAGCTAACTCACCAGGAATTTATTACGGTGGTTTCCAATGGGACCCGCGTGGAGGTCACCATGACATGGTACATAGATAGCAATGGGGTTAATAATCTCCCCGGTGAGTTGAAGTTTTTTTTATGGATGATTATTGAATGGTGCATCCATCTGCGCTAGCAATGGGGTTAATAGTCCCCATTACCAACAATCCCCTTCCCCCCGGTTAGGCAGATTTACCCACCCAGATGACTCGTACAAAGTCTGGGTCTGTTATAAAGTCGTCTCTTTGTTTTGTTTGTATTGGGGGGATTTGTTAGGGGATTGTTAGTAATGTGAACAAATGACCATTACTAGCAACGTACCATGTCGGGTTGACATCCACGCGGTTCCCCCTGGAAACCATCGTGATAAATTCCTGGTGAATTTGCTACGATAGGATATAGATAAACAGATATATAACCTGACTTTGTGTTCATCTTATCATTCTCCACTGGTGCACCGCTGGCGTAAGCCGTTAGGGCAGGTGAGTGCACCATACCTTTCTGACCCTTAAAAAATAAACCTTTGTATTGTATTTATCAATGTGTGGTCGTTCTTGATCTTATGTTTCTTTACCAACGTTGTGAAACTATATATCCCTATATACCTATAATTTTGTCTTAATAGATCACGACAAGCACGAATGTCACGTTTTTGTAATATATAATTGTCTAGGTATTACCAGCGACGCGTATTAACTTATTTTTTATTAAATGAGATAAAAATTCTAAAATAAATGTAGGCATTGACGGCTTGGTGGTCTAATGGTCCGCACATCGCTTTACTTCCGATGGTTACGGGTTCGATTCCTCGCATGGCACAAGCATTTATATTCGTGAGTATTATTTGTATCGGTCTGGGTGTTTTCTATATACAATATGTATGTATTTAGGAAAAAAATCTATGATTTGTATCAGATATCTAGTACCTATAACACAAGCTTTAGGTAGCTTAACTTGAGTCTATATAGCGCAGTGTAAATTGTCCTGAGATTATTATTATTACTATTATTATATGTTACTCCTTATAACATTAGCTATCTGGGACTCTAAGTATCGCCAAAATTGGTCCAGCCGTTTCAGCGAGTTGCAAAAACAAACATTTTGATCTAATTACTATATATACCTATATTTTCATACACATTTAGTGAAAAGCTGTTAATTTGAAATTACAAACTGACAAATTTTATTTACTGTATGATGATGTATTCCTTATGAAAACACTGATTAATAAAACAACTGACTGAAATAGTGATCTCGTCTGTGAAACTAGTATTCGACAGATGGACATCAGTGAGGGACAGAAGGATAGCAAAGTTGCGAATTTAACAGTTGGTTTTAAGGAGTAATAGAAGAATATCTACACCATAAAGGTCTTTTTTAAAATGGTTTACCCGCCTACGCTAATTGAAATCTCTGGCCACCAGTGGACAATGCTAAGGTAAGCATGAGGTCAGGTCAGATAACCCATCGTGGCAAACTGACTAGGAATTTAACATGATGGTTTTCAGAGGGAGGAAGAGGGAGATGTCTACCTGACGTGGTAAATTGCTAGCAATGAGGTTATTAATCCACATTACTAACAATCCCCTTTCCCCCATCGTAGAGGTACTTGATACTTTCCCTAATACCATGTTATGTCTGGTGACATCCTGGATGCCCATGTATTGATAATACATGAGCTATGGGGAGAATGGCTCGATAATAATGTGCTCTGGTATCTCATTGCTAGAACACTATACCATGTCATGTCAAACTTCACTAGAAAACCATACTAATGTCTGGTGAAGTCGTCACGATGGATTTATTGCCCGCCAGCTATTATCATTCATTAAAATAACATAGGTACATAAGGTACTCTAAAGTCATTCGCAGGAAATAGAAGATATGTTGAAGTTTGCGCCCTTGCTTAACACAGCCAGACAACTTTGAATACGGCTGGGTTATGTGCAGCTGTTCGACTATAAAGTCTACATCTTAGATGGAATGCATCTCACTGAAAGTGATCTATTCCTATACAAGCGATGGCGCCGACGTTTTAAAAAATGTCGATTAAAAGCGTAATTCTATTCCTAGCCACTCGTAGTCGCTTAATATAAAACTCGTTAAACAACAATTATATCAATTTTAATTCCGTGAAGGAATCGGACCGTCGCGATGTAAACAAAGGCCAGCATCGGCGACGAGGTCACGCCGCGGCGGCAGCGGCCGAGTGGTGGGACGGAGGCGAGTGGCGAGCGGCGAGTGGCGAGCGTGTAGGGGCGCATGCGCGCGGCGCGGCGGTGGGCGGCGCGTGCGCAGGGCGGGCGGCCGCGGCGTCAGTCCGCGCGCGCTCTCGCCATGGCTCGGTGGCTGAAGGCCCTGGCGACGCTGCTGCTGCTCGCCGGCGCCGCGACCGCGCGCAAGTCGCCCGCCGCCCCCAAACACGAACCCCAGATCGAGGAGGTCACCGCGAAACAGTTGGAGCGTGTGCTGGAGGATAAGGACTTCGTCGCGGTGTACTGGTGTAAGTGGCCACTCGGCTGCCGCCCGCCGACCGGCGCGCGTCTCCGGTTAAATTTGCGAGCTCTCGGCTGGCCGCCGGCCAGCGCGGGGGCGATGCCGTGTCGAAACGTCTGCGACGGCGCCCGTCCAAATGGGTTATCGGCGAGTTAATGATCTTCGGACGGGCCGAGGGAACGCCGCACTTTCGGCTGTGGTGGCATGATATTTTAAAAGCGGCTCCGTCCGCGATTTATGAGTTATGCAACCGAGTGGCGGAGACAATAAAACTTGACCCGGCCGCCGACCGGTGCGCCCGTCGGCACGGCCTAAAATGGCCGAGTCTCGTTTTCCACCGTTCCACCGATGCTGGCTCCGCCAAGGTCGCGCCTACGCTTTGAGCTCGGCTAAAACTAGTGTGGTGTGCCGGCGCATGTACAGCTGAAATAGACTCCTATTACGTGGTATTAACATTCCGAATATTTTCTTTTGTCGTCAACCGAGATGTTTGACTCGTGATCTGTTTGTTGACACGTCACGTTTCGTTCGGTTATTGAGAAAAGTGCAATTCGTGAGTGTAGGCCGAGAGCATACAGCTTTTTGCTTTGCGTTTCGTCAGTTAGAGTTATGTTGACGCACCTTGCTATCTATATCCGTTGCCGCGTCCATTATGCACCTCACACTCATTCGAAGGATGCTGTCACTGGTCCAGACACAAAAAGTGCAATAAATCTATGTCGAAGCCGGCAGCACCACAAAAGTTTTGGCTCGGTTCTAGTTGCGTTTGCTAATAGGGATCATTGGACTTTTGAATGGAGACTTCTCGACGTAGGATAATTTTATTGATTTGTCATATAATTTACAAACAAGTTATAGACATAAACATAAACAAAGTTTATTGAAGGCATTTCTTTATCACACTTCAAAAATTATTAGCATCCATAAAATAAATATATCTTTTAATTTAATTCGAAAATTGCAGACAATTTTGAACTTTGTTATTAGCATTTTTTTTACATTATTTTCATTAGGCGCATCAAAATATGTAGCCTATGATTGTTATGTCTATAACAAAGGAATGTCTATATTCAGCTGTAAATTGAAATAAGAGTTATAAGTATCCCATGTAGGTTCTTATAACAATATTATTCAGTCTTATTTAGATCATAATTAACACGAGTTTTTATTCTATTAGTTGTCCGGTCGTCCTAGTATAAGCTCTGATAGTATGGAACTAGAAGGTACCGTGTGATTGATAGGTATAGATTTATGTTTTTATTTACAAAATTATGTTCAAGTTTCGTAAGTAGAATTTACAAAACATGCTAGTTGAGTGCAATGCGCTTCATACGAGTAACTAACATAAAACATCTGCGTTACAAAAATAGTAACAGTTGCCTAGTATTTGTTAGAAAAGACATAATTGCGAAAATGTTCCTCTACAACTGTTTGTGTTGGATAACATCCAGAACTGAGGCTGTTATCATTAATTCCTGGATTAATGAAAATTACGACAATTTAAAATCGAGAGAAGTGTAATTTAAGAGGCGGAAACAAGCTTTGTTACATTTAAAAGCTATATCTAATATTTAACAAGCATATAACAATGTATGGAAAGTTAATGAGGTGGAGAATGATAAAAATTCCAATGATTATCCAATAAGAACTCTACATGAATATATAACATTTACGTATTAATGTAAATGAAGGTCCTTAAATGAAATTACAGGATATACCTAAATTAATCATTCATCCATTAAGCAGTTTACAAATGTCTGATTGTACCTTTAACAGTCTACAATTATTATCTATATCTTGTGGTTATATTATATAAGGTCATGATGTGGTAGAAAAGAGAAAACTCGCAATGATTATTCATTAATTCTACGTATGACCATAATTATATCAATCAAGATTATCACATCACTAGCTACTCCCCCGGCTTCGTCCGGGTGTACATGTATATAATACATGTTATACATATAAACCTTCCTCTTGAATCACTCTACCTATTATTTTTTTATAATTAAAACCGCTTCAAAATCCGTTGCGTAGTTTACATTTAAGTATTCATAGGGACGGACAGACAGCGACAGCGACTTTGTTTTATACTATGTAATAATGATATTGATAACTCTATTTATTATCATACTATATTTATGAATAGTAAACTCAGGTGATAACTAAGTAAGATAGAGTAATTTCTAAAGATAACTGGACTACCTATAATTGGCGTGTCATTCCAGCTAACGATATGAACAAAGATGAAATTATTAACATTATTCGCATCGTGACGAATTCATCAATTAACTACAATTCTGTATACAACAACATAGACGAGACATAGTTTGTTAGCGATATACAAAAAAGTTTCCATCTATAAAATTCAGCTAATAAATTCAAGTAATCATTAAATATAATACATATTCGATCGCCGTTTAAATAGAAATACATACTCGTACTTATGATTACTCAAATATTTGTTTTATACACTCATTAATAAATCCATACATTAAACGGCTGGTATTGTATTTAAAAAACATTTCACACACTTAATCAGAGCGTTATGAGTGGATGAAACACTGAAGTGTTCATTTCAAGTGTGCTCATAAAAGTGCATCGAACATTCATTGCCTTATATTTCTGTTTTTTTTACTGTAAAGATGCACCCGCCTGCACCTACGTTTTTCGATGGCGGGACACCAGTGGAGAACGATAAGATGAACAAGAGGTTAGGACAGTTAGTTCATCATGACAAATTCACTATGATTTTATCATGATGGTTTCCAGGGACACGTGGACGTCAATGTGACATGGTACACTGGTAGAAATGAGGCCATTAGTCCTCATTGTTAACAATCCCATTCCCTCATAGCGTTACTTTAGACAAGACAATGTATATAGGTGAAACTATGTAACTTACTAGAATAAAACTGAACTTATTAAGAATAATCTCAGGACAATTCACACAGTGCCATCTAACCCCAAATGAAGATACCTACAGCTTGTGTTATGGGTACTAGACAACTGATACAAATACATAGATATGTTTTCTTTTTCGTAAATACATACATATTATACATAGAAAATACCCAGACCGATACAAACAATCATACTTATGAATACAAATGTTTGTGCCGTGTGAGGAATCGAACCCCCATCGACCATCGGTAGTAAGGGGTTATTCTAAACCGCTAGACCACGGAGGCCGTCGAGGCCGAATAGTTAGAGTCTAATTATTTACTCATTTCGACATTTCAGTAAATGAATAGGTATCCCTCACAGAAGTTCCATTAAATCTTATTTTAATAATAATATTATAAACGTGAAAGTTTGTGAGTATGGATGTTTGTTACTCTTTCACGCTTTTCAAAACTACTGAACGGAATTTGATAATACTTTACAATAATATATTATGCATCAGAATAACACATAGGCTATATTTAATTGAAATTTAACGGACCAGTAATGTATAAAATTTTGTACCTATCATATTCTATATTATATTATATACTGAATTATTATCATTGGCTGTTGCCGTTTTATATATTCAATTACTTGAAATATTTAGTTCCGATCACCTTTGTTCAAATCACACAAAAATTTAACCCAGATTCCACATATAACGACTTTCAAATTCACGTAACTGACTTTAACAAGCTGGATTCAAAAGATCATAAAACTTAGCAAATAATAGATTTCACAAACCTTTAACAGGAAGTTACGACAAATATTTGATTAAAATTAATGTCTTAATAGAGTTAATCTAAGTTTATAAATTTTCCGTGCGAAAAACAAAAATAATTCTGATTACAGGGACTAAATTAACTAAACTATAAATATTTATTAACGTAAAACAGTAATGCACAATTTGCAAACTTCAGTTTTTGTTCAGCACCTTTTATTGATGTTTGGAAGGCAGTATCTACAATTGCCGTTTTAATGTCATATAGATAATATAATACTGAAAATTGTTAAAGATAAGAAGCAACATAACGTTTGTGGTTAATTCTATCAATTATATTTCAATATTAAGAATTACGGAATAAAAAAATTGCAAAACTATTCACTATTTTATAATTAGGTACTGTAATTTTTTTTGTGTAATAGTCGGGTAAGAATACAATGTTACTAATCGTTTTTGTGTCCAGGATGCACTAATAGATTTGATACCAACACAAGAAAAGAATTTATATATAGCCATCTTAGTCCATCGGAATAGCAACGCATGTCTGGTTTCACGGGCCCAACCAAATCAAAAGAAATCACGTGTACCCAAGTCGACGTGATTTCTGTGGTGCTTCGTGTAGCTATATAGATGTTTTCCACCTACTATCAAGTAGGTCAGTTTGTTTGTCATTGTAATTAACTAAATAAAAAAGAAAAACTCGAAGTAAAATACTGTAGCACCTTACAAATATGGTTGTAACTGGAGCGGAATCACTACATAGGAATAATTTTACGTATACGTATGTATTTACTAAAACGGTTAGCAAGACAGCCAAAAGTGACATATATAAAAAGGGGTACCAAAAAAGAATGGTATACAATCTGTCAGCAACATTACGACTAATAATATTAAGATGAGAAAGTATCTGCAAGACTGAATTATGTTCATAACAATGGCAGTTTATAATTCCTCTAGCAGATTACCGTCGAGGCAATTTTTTATATAGATAGTAACCGATTTTGCTCCATGTCATTCTCAAAACTCTACATTTTATGTGCATGCACATATTACAAGTAAAATAGTGGATAAGCACGTTTATTAAAAATATATCACTACAATATAATAATTGCAAAGTAATTAAGTGTTAATATTAATCATTGTTAGTTACCAAGTTATCAAGTGTGATAACATTCAGGAAGCCAGTCTATATTTGTACAGTTCTGTCAGCTACCTATAAAATATTTATGATCATAGATAAGATTTGTTGATAAAGTAAACCTCGATATAAATAAATTATGTTCTTGTAATTAACTCTTCAACAGAAATGTAAAGAAGAAAAACCCGGAAAATATTAG